AGAATCTTTTGGTCTGAGAACCAGACTAACTTATTTATTTTTAGTCTGGTTCCCAGACCAAAAGATTCAGGAGTAGTCAGAATCTTTTGGTCTAGGAACCAGACTAATTAACTTTTTTAGCAGCCAATCAGCACCGGGCTTTCTTTATGTAGGGCTTTCACGCGTGTGAGAACTACAACATGCACGTCTGACTGTGAAAAAAAGGTAGGAAAGTCACATTTTCTTCGAAAGTGCTTTCAAAATTACAACTAACATGAGTTTGTATGAAGAAAAAAGACTGCTTTAGCCCGCAAAAGTCACTTTGGTACTGGACAGTCATCTGCAAAAGTCAGTTTTGAACAGAACTTGTAAAAAATAGGTGTCCGCTAAGGATTACCCTTAGCCCAGGTTGGACGAAGTCTCTATTGCATTACGACTAACGTCCAGGATGAGAATTCTCTACATAAGACCACCCAAAATTTGGACCAGATTTTTGTTACGTTTTACCTCGTTACAGAAGCTTATTTCACGCCTACATTTTCTATGTCTTTCTCTATTGATCCAGGGGTTCAGGAATTCCATATGTGATGCTGACCGACATTAATCAGGAAAATAAACTCTAAAGCAACGTTAAACTTGTACGTGTTTGTAGTCTCCTTTCATCAGTTTTATTCCTGAGTCGTACGTCATGTACGTGCGCACGAAAGCGCGCACGCACGCTAGCGCCCTCATTTGTTTAGTTTTGGTTGGAACAGTGACGTCACTCCAGCCAACCGACGTCACGAAAACGCTCAACCAATGACCAAAGCCGAAACATGTTTCTGGTAACTGGCGCGAAAACACGCTCGGTCATTGGATTAGCGACCGCGCCTTCAAGTAAGTGCGCGTGCGTATGAGGATGGTTACTAAGCAAATTGCGCGTGCGCACTACATATTCACGCTGCATAGTCTGGCTCGCAGACCAGACGTGATATGAGCACCCAATAATTGTCAGGTCTAGGGAACCAGACTACACGCTGCACGGACGTTCTAGAATAGACTCGGCGGTGAGAAACTGATGAAAAGAGTCTACAAACACGTACAAGTTTAGCGTTGCTTTAGAGTTTATTTTCCTGATTAAGGTCGGTCAGCATCGCATATGGAATTCCTGAACCCAGCGGCCCAATAGATAAGGACACATAGAATACTACGACGTAAAAATTGGCTTATCCAACAAGGTAAAAATATTGAAAATATTGGTCATAAATTTTTTCGCTCGGTTTTGAGCACTTCATACCCTGGACTCCCTCCGTTACGTAGGGAGGAAAGGGAGTCCACCTGGGCTAGGATTACCCTTAAAACAAACCCTTGCACAATGGAACAGCAATATAAATTGGGTGATTTGGCAGACTTTCGAAGTGGATTAAGCAGAATTTTACATGGTATTACGGTCATCCTGCCATGTAAGACGGTTAGTCGGGTACCAGACAGGGCTCTGGAGTGCTCTGAAACTTGCAAAAATAAAACAGGCCCACTTTACTCACACTTTAGCCAGCAAATTTCTCCAAAAATTCCACTAGGGCAAAGAAAATGTCCTCAGTATATCACCAACCAAGTTTGCAGACTCAATTCAATTTTTAAAGGAGACTTTTCTTCAATAGTTTGCACATGAGAGTGAAGTCAAGTGATTTCAAAATGGGGCTACACACTAGACTGGTACATGTCCAACCATGGTCCAACTATTTGAAAAGACTGACCTCTTCATTCAGTGTCAATAGTCTGGTGGTTTGACTATGGAGAAATGTGTAGTAAATCGAGACTAGTTCCTGCTTCATGCCAAGTGTTTCCTAAATTCTTTTGGCATGGTTGATTGATGCAGTACTGAAGCTGTGTTGGACTGGTTGTTTTAGGTGCCAGTCTATTTTCTTGTTTTGCATGTTACCTAGCCTTGACCAAGGCTATCAGCTTGTTCCCATACGAGCTTGTTCCCGCTACCGCACACCGCGCGCATCGCGACACAATCACTAGTTGTACTATACCGTTAGCCTCAACGACCCTTGCGTGTGCTTTGTGTGCATGTATGTACGCCCCACACACACTTCCGCAAACAGCCGTACAGTATTAAGTCGAGGCGGAAGATAGCCTTGACGCAACCATGGCGAATTCTTATGTGTTTCTTTATAGTTTCGACCGAAATCGGACGAAAATTTCTGATGCGCATATATTACACGATATCCAATCAAAGCCTGTAAACTTTGACCCGCGACATACATATTCATGATCCCGCAAATTACTGCATGCACCACGTACATGTATGTTCACTCAACCATGCTCAAACCATGGTATGTCCAGGTATTTCAATCCCATTTAAAACCATTTCTCCAGTTTTATTACAAACAAATGAAATATGCCGATATATGAGTGAACAATTGTTCAAAATGATACTATTTCCAATGTATTGCGAATTGGACAGTTCAAGACAGTCCGCCGACGTTTTGTCGGTGCAACAGCGTACATTATCACGCCGCTACCTGCCCGTGCTATTCTGACAGCGAATGTAGGGAACAGGTCAACTCGGACCCAGGTCAAATCGTACCCATTTAATCGAATGCAGGTTAACTCGTATCTATAAGCACCCGTATGAATTAACTGCAAGAAAAGACCTATTGACTTTGGGATGGAAATATACGAAACTGTCAGGTACATGGTCTCCCAGAATTTGTACCATGTGCAACATACATCTCATACGTATGACACATGTATTTTAACGCGTACGTGTGAATTAATCGTATGTCGTACCTACGACATACGTACGACATGTAAGTCGTAGATGTAAATCGCACGAGATACAAGTCGTTCTCACAAGATATGTTGTGTACGACATAATCGACAAACAAGTCGAATATACGAGTTACAATTCATATTTTGTACACACGAGATATTAAGTCGTACTTATACGACTTTGTCGTATGCGACATATATCGTACCCTGTCGACTCGACTTATGCACGACATATATATCGTACCGGCACCTGTTGACATTATGTCATATGTTTGATATGTCATACCCTGTCGACATATATGTCGTACCCTGTCGATGATATTAGTCGTACCCGGTCGAATTATGTCGTACCCTGTCGATGATATTAGTGGTACATACGACATATAACTTATGAGTTGTTCATACAAGTTAAAATCAGTCTTACAGAAGAAGTTTGCTGAAGGAGAGATATTTTTTCCCATATCCCCTTGACAGCTTAGGAGAAATACGCCCCCCCCCCCCAAAAGTCAGCGGTAGATAGTGTGAGCGCTTTTTTTGCCGCTGAACGTGAAAGCGCAGCGTGTCTCACTGCATGGCGCCAGCCGGGCCGGTGCCTACAGTGGACGGCCCCAACGTGGCCTCTGTGCATGGTGACATCGTTTTTGCCGGCGTGCGGTTTTGTACCATTTGCCGTTTTTTGAAGGTCTAATTTTTCATCCTTTTCATTTCATTTTCGACCCAAACTATGTGTAACTTTATAAATATTATTCTACTATTATTTAAGATTTTAAGGGGGTGTTTTACAATAATTATTGTTACCACAGGCCTGTCTGGTTTATAACCCTTTGGTCGTATTATGCAATTTAATAAATATTCATTTTTTGTCAGCTCCGTTATCCAATGAGAGAAGACTATTTACCATAGCGCGTACTAATTATCATATTCAGCATACACGGTTGCGTCAAGGCTATCTTCCGCCTCGACTTACTGTACGGCTGTTTGCGGAAGTGTGTGTGGGGCGTACGTACATGCACACAAAGCACACGCAAGGGTCGTTGGGGCTAACGGTATAGTATAGTACAAATGTACAACACTGTGTTTCTGCGCGCGCGGTGTGCGGTAGCGGGAACAAGCTCATAATGGGAACAAGCTGATAGCCTTGGTCAAGGCTACATGTTACCTTAAGTTTTGGGACTCTCATACACAGTATTGAGAGTCCCAAATTTTCGGACTAGTTGGGTACCCACTGGTGATACTTCCGTTTTGGGCATGCGGAACTCGGGGTACCAGTGTCATGCCTGTCTTTGATTTTCTGATCATTTTGAAAACATTCGTGGTGACAAAGTTGTGCCGTACTTTACATCAAATTTCTTGGCAATGCCAGATCCAACACTCGCGGAAATTCACAGGAGGCCCAACAAGTAAGTGATATACCTATGGGCAAAATTATACATGGTTATATGTAGTGGATCAAAAGATAGAATGCTGTCGCTTGTATTTACCCGACGGAAGCGCGTGGCGTTGTATACAACGCCACGTTCACGGGTTTAACTCTTTACAGGCTTATCAGAAGGGCTGCCTTTTTCAGATGCCTATTTTTTGAGAAATTTCCAGATTCGTTTGCACTTGTTTGCGTATCAACATTTCAACATGAAATTTCACGAAAATTAGACATTTGAAAAAGGCAGCACTTTCTATTTATTAGAGGATGAGTAGGCCCTATGCTAGCCCCATAAATGTGGCCTATTTACTGGGCTGCCTCTGTAAACATAGGCCACACATCCACATGTACAAAAATCGTGTCGACTTTGCCAAATTTTGATTTTCACATTTAGGGTTAGTTTGTAGGATTTTTTTGCTTTAGAAGCATACTCACCCTCTTTATAGGCTAGTCAGAAAGTGCTGCCTTTTTCAGATGTCTAATTTTTGTGAAATTTAATGTTGAAATTTTGATACGCAAACGTGTAAAAATGAATCTGGAAATTTCACGAAAAATATACATCTGAAAAAGGCAGCACTTTCTGATTAGCCTATAAAGATTTATGGGGCTAGCCCTATGCTTGTAAAGCGGGAAAAAAAACCAAAGCCTAAATGTGAAAATCAAAATTTGACAAAGTTCGACATGTTTTTGTACATGGTGGAAGGGTGGCCTTTATTTACGGCGGTAGGCCTAGTCCAGTAAATTGGCCACATTATGGGCACCATGGGGCTAGGGCGAAGTTGGTGTAAAGTGTAATACTAATAGGCTAGTTAGGCCTACTTTTGCATGTTTAGTTACTCACCCGTCATTTTTATCTGGCCTAACGTTTAGGCCTACATCATGCCTAATCATGTTTTCTTCCATCATGTCCATTTTCTGAGATTTCGCTGAAATCTTTACGGCAAAACTGTATGAATGGAGAGTAATCAACAGTATAGTAGTTATGATGAAAAATGCTAGCTGCTAGCTGCTCGAGCTCCTCCTTGAGCTCTGAGCTCTATGGTACGCTTGTTTTTGGGTCGGACTCGACTCGATATCGCGATGTTGATTCACGACTTTGCTTTTTAGACTTGGCCAGCCAAGGTAATTAATTCATATATGTGCGCGATCGATGTCACTATGGAATTATGCAAAAATGGAGGCATTTCATCAACCTGGCCTAGTCCCCATGGTGTTGAACAGTACGCGCCCACCACTACCTGCTCTATTGGAAACCAGGTTGGAAATAAAGAAAGCACTGGGGACGAGGTTGGCATTTCATTAAAATCACGGGAGCTCTGTATTGTACGGCCGAATGTCGGACACTTCGCCCCATTTCCACGTCGCCCCATGTCACTTCGCCCCTAACCACTTCGCCCCATCCCCACTTCGCCCCATTCCCACATCGCCCCATCCCCACTTCGCCCCATCCCCACTTCGCCCCATCTCCACTTCGCCCCAGCCGTTACATGTAAAAAAAAAAATCTCATCTATTTTATAGACCGCTTGCAGACGCGTTCGATAATTGACGCGCTAAGGTGAGCGACGCCATGTTATGGGACAAAATGTGCGTGGATAGATATACGCCTGTCCCACAACATGGCATCGCGCGCCTTCGCACGTCGATTATCGAACGCGTCTGCAAGCGGTCTATTGGCTTAAAAAACAATTTCAACAGATTCACTAATTGCTAACCAACGGAAAGAATTAGCCCATCACCAAATGAACAATTCATAACCAACCTCTCAAGCTATAGGCTCTCCCCTACCGAGAAAAAAAACTTGAAGTAAAAGATCAAACTTTGTTCCCAACCCGGCTATACTAACCCAATGAAGTTGTAAGTGTCACGTATCAGACAAAATTTTGACGGAACATTTTCCTCAAGGCAGTGAGTTCTTTTTAACTCACTGACCCATACCTACGGATTCTTTTGAATCCAGCGGCTGATGAGTCCCAGAAGGGACGAATATGCATTCTGCTATTGCCCTCAGGTAAAACCTAACCCACCCCACTGCCTGGGTAAACTTGGCTACGGTCAAAAGTTCCATTGATTTCTCCTTATTTCTACCCAATTTTTGAGACCCCTTTCATGTGTCTCAATTGAAGAACATAAACCACACAATGTCACACCATCGAATAACTCAATGTGTTGTTCCTACGCACATTTTTTATTCACAAGCCAATATAGGAGAGGCGTCTCTGAATTGGATAGAGCCATTTCTCTCATCTGTGTCTCGAGCACCTCATTAGAGAGTTTTTATTTTTCCTAAATTTCTAGAATTGGGAGCATTTATTATCTGGGGTCTTTGGCAGTTTATTTGGTCTGCACCCCTAGCCTTCAGCTTTTTCATACTACATGGGGCGAAGTGGGGATGGGGCGAAGTGGGGATGGGGCGAAGCGGGGATGGGGCGAAGTGGGGATGGGGCGAAGCGGAGATGGGGCGTTGTGGGGATGGGGCGAAGTGGGATGGGGCGAAGTGGGATGGGGCGAAGTGACATGGGGCGACGTGGAAATGGGGCGAAGCGTCCGACGCCCGTACGGCCGGTAGCATGATAAGTGTTACGGTACTTAACTATTTCGATCTATGCTATGTTCATCTTCCTATCTTAAAAACTTAAAATAACCTTGTAATAAAAATAGTGTTATTTTTTTGTTATATTTCTTTTCTACATGAGTGGATGGAAATTCATTCACGTAACGTGATGTTTTGCACCGATATTAGGAATCAACGGATTTGTAAATTCGGTGCGCCGAAACTAGGAATTTCAATTTCGGTATCGCATTTGTAAATCCGGTGAGGTACCGTCTCGTTCACGAACAAAACATGGCACGGCCGGTAAAACAAGGATTATTTTCGTTACTATTTATTAATGGAAGGCCCCAAAAATAAAGTATTTGGTGTTAAGAACATTTAAGTAGTTCGGTCAAGCAAAACTATTCTGAGACTGAATAATCACGTGGCCATATAGAGCAACGAACACAACCTCGTTCCCCGTGGCAACCTCGTCCCCGTGGATACGATATTGCTGCGCCATGTTGTCTCCCATCATGCCTTGCGCGATTGCGTTAGTGTCATTGATCTCCACTAGTGCAGGGCCAGTCGCAAATGTGCGTGTTCGGATGGGGCAATTGAGAACTGCTGCTCGTTCAAACAACGCACATTATTCAATGTATGGTGTGAACGCACACTCGAAAGTTAAACGCACAAAATGTCGGCACCCCCCTGGCACTGATATTTACCCCTACTGGACAAAATGGTATCGCCCTACAACTGTAGGGCGTAGTTGTAGGGCGATACCATATTGTATAAGAGTTGCTCAGTCGACCGCCTACATACAGTGCAGTGATGGTTGCTCAGTTGGCTACAAAATGCATGTGCCCGTGCATGCCACTCACGTATATGTACGTACGAAGACATGGTGTGCAGTGCTATCGCCCTACAATGTGCCCGTCCTTTTTGCACTGTTTGCGTCACATTGAGCACGCGCGCTTAAGCTCGAACAGTGACGTAAACAATTGAAAAGAACCCCATGATGTGCCCGTCCTTTTTGCATTGTTGCGTCATATTGAGCAAGCGCTCTTGCTTTAACATGACGTAAACAATTGAAAAGAACGGCAGTGCGTACGCGTGGAGTTATGTTCTAAGCTGCTACGTTTGCCTCCGAAAATACTGTTTTTTGCAGCTTTTTCGAGAACCCCTGGTCCAAACCACTTCAAACTTGGCACTGCACATTCTGTTGTCCCGAGCAATACACCGGCCGATTTCCAGTCGAAAATGTGCGTGTTCGGAAGGGGCAGTTGAGAACTGCAGCTCGTGCAAACAACGCACATTATTCAATGGTGTGAACGCACACTCGCAAGTTAAACTCACAAAATGTCGTCACCCCCCCCCCCCCCGGCACATACAGTGCAGTGATGGTTGCTCAGTTGAGTACAAAATGCATGTGCCCGTGCATGCCACTCACGTATATGAACGTACGAAGACATGGTGTGCAGTGCTATCGCCCTACAATGTGCCCGTCATTTTTGCAGGGCCCGTCAAAAAAAAGAGCACCTGTTCGTTAGGGGCAATTTCAAAATGCTCATATCATGCAAACAACGCACACGATTCAATTGTGTTGTTTTCACAGGTTAAACTCACACTCATAGGTTGAGCGCACTTTGTACATGTCGCCAGGCCATCCCCGGCACTGATATTCACCAATACGCCCGTGCAGCTACTCACCTACGTGAGTAAGGTTGCTCAATCCACCGCCTACAATAGTGGTTCAATCGACTTAAAATGCAAGTGCCCGTGCAGTCATCACGTACGGAAACATATGGTACGCAGTGTTATTCACCCTTACTGGACAATGGTATCGCCCTACAATGCACGTGCGCGTGCCCGTGTCTTTTTTCCATTGTTTCCGTCATATTGAGCACGCGCGCTCTTGCTTTAACATGACGTAAACAATTGAAAAGAACGGCAGTGCGCGGAGTTCTAGGCTATATTCTAGCGCGCTAGGCCTCCGAAAATACTGCTTTTTTGCAGCTTTTTCGAGAACCCCTATTCCAAACCACTTCAAACTTGGCACTGCACGTTCTGTTGTCCCGAGCAATGCACCCGCCGATTTTTAACTTCATACGGTGCCCGGTTCTGGAGATAATCGGCGGACAGACAGACAGACAGACAGAGATTCCTTGAATTGTAGTATAGACTAGTGCAGGGCCAGTCGAAAATGTGCGTGTTCGGAAGGGGCAGTTGAGAACGAACTGCAGCTCGTGCAAACAACGCACATTATTCAATGGTGTGAACGCACACTCGCAAGTTAAATTCACAAAATGTCGTCACCACCCCCCCCCCCGGCACATACAGTGCAGTGATGGTTGCTCAGTTGAGTACAAAATGCATGTGCCCGTGCATGCCACTCACGTATATGTACGTACGAAGACATGGTGTGCAGTGCTTATCGCCCTACAATGTGCCCGTCATTTTTGCAGGGCCCGTCAAAAAAATGCACCTGTTCGTTAGGGGCAATTTCAAAATGCTCATATCATGCAAACAACGCACACGATTCAATTGTGTTGTTTTCACAGGTTAAACTCACACTCATAGGTTGAGCGCACTTTGTACTTGTCGCCAGGCCATCCCCGGCACTGATATTCACCAATACGCCCGTGCAGCTACTCACCTACGTGAGTAAGGTTGCTCAATCCACCGCCTACAATAGTGGTTCAATCGACTGCAAAATGCATGTGCCCGTGCAGTCATCACGTACGGAAACATATGGTACGCAGTGCTATTCACCCATACTGGACAATGGTATCGCCCTACAATGCACGTGCGCGTGCTCGTCCTTTTTGCATTGTTTGCGTCATATTGAGCACGCGCGCTTTAGCTTTAACATGACGTAAACAATATAAAAGAACGGCAGTGCGCGGAGTTCTAGGCTATATTCTGGCGCGCTAGGTCTCAGAAAATACTGTTGTTTTTGCAGCTTTTTCGAGAACCCCTCGTCCAAACTACTTCAAACTCGGCACTGCACATTCTGTTGTCCCGAACAATGCACCCGCCGATTTTCAACTCCATACGGTGCCCAGTTCTGGAGATAATCGGCGGACAGACAGACAGACGGACGGACAGACAGACAGACAGACAGACAGACAGAGATTCCTTGAATTGTAGTATAGATATACTCAGTCTGTGTATATGGAGATCAATGGTTAGTGTATAAGGAACGAGCACCCGCAGCCCACTGATCTATGGCGTGTCAAACGTTGCAAAATTCAATGTTTCACAATATATATGTTTGATGTTCAATATGTGTTTGTTATCTTTTACATTTATGTGCGATGTTCAATATAAGTGTGCGATTTTTTCATTATGTGCGCGATGTTTAATATATTTGTGCGATGTTTTACAATATATGTGCGATGTTCAATATATGTATGCGATGTTTTACATTTATATGCGATTTTCAATTTATATGTGCGATGTTTGACCTTATATATGTGCGATGTGTTCAATATTATGTTCGATTTTTTGCATTAAATGTGCGATGTTTTTCGATACAATTGTGTGTGGTGTTTTACAATATATTTGCGATATTCTCAAATATGTGAGCAATGGTTTACAAATATGTTCGACATTTCGAGCTATTTGTATTCGATGTTTCATCGGTATGTTTGCATTCGATCTTTTGCAATATGCATTTGG